GGTCTCCTGGATCCAAGTGGGCGGGGCAAGCCAGAGGGAGGAGGGAGCAGCCACCCGCATCTCTCAAGTTCCTTTTTAATGCACATAAATAAAGATTAGTAGTGAAAAGACACACCTTTCTTCCTCAAATGTGCTAAGGGGCATATAAAGAATCGAAAGTAACTATAATACCAATACCGACTTTGATATCCATCATTATTTTGTCCATGTTCAAACACTGGAATTATATTACAGTATAATTCTTAGTATTCTTAGTGTTCTGTGAATTTTGGCAGCTCAGACTATCTAGAGGAATTTTGTCTTGAAACTTTGAGTGAATGGTAAAACCTATACATTTGTACATAACTACAAATCAGGAGGTATAATGATTAATTGTTACCTCTGAGCCACTTGATATTGATTAATTCTGAATTTCTGAATACACATTTAGTATTTGGCCATCCCCATTCTGAGCACCAAATGGTGAAACATGAATGCCAAATAGAACTGGTTTTTGTCATCTTTAAGTCAGCCTAACTCTTTCTGACAAAAGCAGGTGGGTAAGGGCCAGGGATTTAGCTCAGTGGTTTCGCTGCCTGCTGCGCAAGGGCAAAGACCTGAGTTCGATCCCCGGTACCAAAAAAAAAAGCAGGTGGGTTCATGTCATTAGATCTATAGTTGACATTAATTAATCCCTCTCAAATCTTAATTTTAAATAGAAGATAGAAGTTGTGTGTTAAAATTCTTAATTTATTTATACCCTGTACTAAATGGTTTTATGATTATTCCCTATTTCCTTTCTTGAAATAAATTGTTATGAAAATTTTTTATAATGAAATTCATCTGGTTAATTAGAGAAAAATAGCAAGGTATTTATTGTTCTGTTTACCGTAATTTAGAACTCACATTTAAACTAGTATTTTGTAGTTTTACATTCCTTTTTAACCCATTCAGTGGAGAATGTCAAATCTTCTCCCAAGCTCTAAGTTAAATCAGTCTTAATATATACTCAACATCAAAGACAAACATGTAATAAACGTGGAAATAAAGTTTAGCTTTGTCGGTGAAATGTTAAAGCAAAAAACAAAAAAAAGCACACAGCTCTGCTCAGCATCAATATTTCCAAGAAGAAAAGCCAACCCTAGCCTGACTCTTACTTCCAGAGCCCTCAATTTTTTGTGAATTCTGCCAATTCTAAACAATTGCTCTAATTTTTAGGGGTAAAACTTTATTTAAACTGATTAAAACCATCTGACAATTTATTGGATGGAAGCAGTTGTCTTGGGACGCTCGTGCAGAGATTCATGAGGTACAGTTATCTAGTGTGAAGATGCTTTTCCTGTTGTAACCACAGAAATTAACCTGCAATCTGTCAGAAACCGTGATAAAAATGAGTCAAAATCTGAATCACAAGTCAGATCAAGGAGGTCTGCCTCAGACACTGGGTGTCAGGTTGCTGTTAAGATTTATTTCTACTTGTATGTTTTCCTTACAAATTTCTTGGAGAATTAAAGGGAAGATGTCTAGAATTCAGTTTCTTTTCTGATCTTTGAAATGAGAATGCAGCTGTCTGGAATCCAGCTCCCTTTTACAAGACCTGATGAGAAATTGGAAAGAAGGCTTTTAACCCTGAATGACAGCATCCTGGTGATACACGCAATCTGGGGTATCCAGGAGACCAGCAGATGGAGTTGTGAAGTGTAAGCCTTTGATGGAATGGTCGTTCCTATGTGTGTTCCTTACCCCTTCCAAGGTAAAGCTTGAAAGGTGCTGTCAAAGGAAACCAAAACTGGACAGCCATTGAAGGCATAAAAGCAGATTTTATTCAAAACTTGTGCAATAGGAGAAAAGAGACCTCACTGTAGAACTGGGCTCAATTCCAAATAAAGCAAGGCCAAATAGGAATTTATAGCCCAGGAATGGGGTGGGAATCAGTAAATAGCATAAGGATGTCATGAGGATGGATGGAAAATATAAAAAGAAATACCAGGGGTAATGATTTTGGTTAAGCTGACCTGACAGGATTCTTGCTGAAGACAGGCAAAGGTGATCCAGCATCGGGAGGATGACAAAGGGTAAGAAATCTGGTCAGATATTGAAAACGATCATTTCATGGGGTTTCTTCTTAAATTGACTCAGCAGGGTTCTTACTGCAAGTAGATTTTGCAAGGAGGTGCATGGATGGACTCACAGGAAGGCCCAGGACCCTGACTATAGTTTGGTCAAGCAAAGAGCCGTTGTCACAACTCTCCAATTGCTCTCACCATCCCTGGCTTTAGTTTATGAGGAAGGCATTAGGAGCAAGAGGGTAGAAATAGACAGCAATCATAGCTGGTGCGTTCAGGCTTTCAGTCTAGTTAAAGCTGGTGTGTCTTCCTTTAAAATGAAAGAGGCTTCCATGAAAGTAGATAGAAGTCCCAAAACTTTCCCATAGCTCACCTTTTGCCCCACTGGTAGCTTTCTCTATCACAATCTCATCTGTGTCTTATTCCTTGCCTCCTCCAAAAAGCATTTGAGACAGCTTACACAGAAAGGCATACACATGCCACTGAGCCATACAATGACGGATCAAAGAGCAAATCAGCTGCAGGCAAATCTCCCAGTACCTGCCATTTCTTAACTGTCCAGCAAGTGGTCGCAAGAATCCCTTTGGTCAAGTTGGTTTAATCAGAACACATTCCTAGTCACTACTGTTAAACAGAACCAGATGGGAGACAGTTGACATCTTGCTCAGAGATGGAGAAGTTGGAACCTGAGACCAAAAACCGCCCTCTCCACAACCAGCCCTATCCGGCCTCCCACCAGTGTCATAAGCTGCAGCCCCACCCACCCTACGTGAATGGGGATAGATGGTGCCCAAGGCAGACAATGGTGCCTTCTTGTTCTGTTCACTCAACCCTAAGCAGTTTGCCTGTTGCAGCAGCAACATCCAGAGCATCTCCCTGCCTGGCTGTGTGGTGGCTCAGTGACTTGGAAAATGAGAGCAGTGAAGCTCACAGTCCACGGCCTCCATGAGCTTGTCCAGAATGGAGTTAAGAAAAAAGGGCCACTGTGGCAAGTCATGTGAGTTACCAAGTTCAAAAGGAGAGAGAAGAAACTGACAAAAGTAGCAGCTCCTCAGAACTCTCTTCCTCCTTGCATTTATCCCTGGCTCAAGTTCAAGTCATGAGTTCTTCATGGGCTTCAGGAGGCTCACTGAGTGAGCGTCTCTAGAGGCTGCCAAGACCCAGGACCTCCCATTCCCTGGACACTTTCTGGACACTTGCACGATATCTTCTTTGAGTTTTGTCTCAGGCCAAATCTCCAGCTTGGTCCAGATATAAGATACCTTGGACCAGTAGGGGATGCCCTGCAGTACCTCAAGGGCCGTCTATGTCCTCCACCCACAGAAGATTTTGCTCACTGTCCCGCAGCCACTTTTCTACCATGAGTGAACTTCTTGTCAGAAGCAGGTTTAGGGGTCCATGAGGGCTCCATGTGCTGGGAGCTCACCCCCTGGTTGATGACTCCAGAGATGCTTCAGCACTGTGCCTTGGGCTGCATCCAGCATTGGCTGAGGATCTTGTAGATGTGCAGCTTTCAGTTGCTATCAGGCTGTAGTCTGTGGTAGAAGAGGTGCTTGCACATTCCTCTCAGGTACTTGGAGTGCAGGAAGTTGACATGGTGCTCCTGCTGGGTACATAGCATTTTCTTGTTGTTGGAGTTGTGGTAGGGCATGGAACCACAGACCATTATGGAAAGGATCATGCCTGGGGTTCTTGGGCTGGTAGGGGATAATCTACAGCACCTCAGGAACTGTGTACACCCTAACCCAAAGAAGGTTTTGCTATTGTCAATTGGTCACTATCATCCCAAAGGCAGCACTTGGAAAGTTAATGTCAGATAGTTTGATCTTGAAGTCCTTGATGATCAGAAAATTCTTTCACTTGAGATTTCTGTGGGTGATGTCCAGGTTACAGCAGTACTTGACACCCAAGGAGAGCTGGTAGAACTTCTTTCAAGCATCATCTTCTTGCAGATCTTCCCAGTTTTGATAAATTCAAGGAAGTCACCCTGAACCTCAAGCTCCATGATGATGTAGACCTTGCTATGTGATAACCACAGGTCTTAACAGTGGAGAAGCATTGTCATGATCTCAATTTTCCAGGGAAGGAATTTCTCCAGAAAGTCTGTGGAACTTTCTGGAAGTCAATGTTTTTAATCATCAAACTAAAATTTAGGTGTTCACAGTAAGCAGATTTGACTTTTGTGTATGAGCCCCCTCCTCCCTCCTCAAAATAGCCCTGTGTTGTAGCCTCATCAACATGAGGATGCAGCATCATCCATGGTGCCTGGAGCACTCAGTGCCTCGGAGGCTGCTCTCTACATCCCTGTCGGACATGGACCAGAAGTGACCTCAATTACAATGCGGGCAGAGTGTCCTCTGCACTGGCCAGGCCTGCTGTCTTTGCCTCTTCAGAAGCCAAGACTCTAGGATGGAACCTTCAGCACTCCTTCCCAGGTGATTTCAATGAGTGAAGTCACAAAGGAGGAGATCCTCGGGGGCCCAAGGCTCTGGCTCCTGATCTTTGTTATGGAACCCTGGAGGATCTGCTAGTGGTTTGGAACACATTAAAGGCCAGCAGAGTGGCTTCAGGCTTGGCTGGGACCTGAGTGATTCTCAGAGGGCCAACTTGCAGGAATTCTGCTCATAGCTGTGAGTTCCCTCCTAGGAACCTGTCCAGCCCTTGGTGTTGGCTGCATCCCCAGGGAAGACCTAGGGCTGAAGGACAGAAGGCTAGGCCCAGATCATACACTGAGCCCTGGCAGCTGCTCCTGGGAATACAATACTCCACGAGGGCAGTGCAAACAGCAAGGGCAGCACTGGAGAGAAACCTCACCTGCTGAAAGTGGAGACTCTCTATGGTGGCAGAGCCTTTGTCCAGCACCTGCTTAGGCCACATCCTGGAAAGTAGAAGCCCCTCAAGGTCTGGCTTAACCTTGGCTTTGACCTTGGTCTTATCTACCTGGAGAGTAAACTGCCCTTCCGCACACTTGGGACCTTATGACCTTATGTCCCAAGAGTAAAATCTTGTAACAATAAGACACACTCAGGAGTGAATTGGGGGTGAGGGTGGAAGCAGGTCAGGTTTGGCTTCAGTTCCACCATTTCTGGCCTTTCTCCTGTTTTTCTGCTCCTCATCTTCACTTTCTTCCCCAGCTCTGACCAGCCAGTCATTATCAGGCCTGTATGCATGGCTGCATGCATGGGTGGCGGTCCTGCCCTTAGACAGCTTGCTTCTCCCTCCTGCTGAGGATGCCCATCTATTGCCTCTCCTCTTTGTTCATCCTGTTCTTGATGGAGTTGCAAGGTCAGCACTCGGAGCTTTACTCCCAGAGCTTAGCCTCGTCTCTGCCTAGCCCTCTTCTCCATCCAGATGTGGCCGCCCCTCCTCCCCCAGGCTGTAGGCAGACCCTTCCTCCAGGGGAGGCCAGCTCTGCCAACCACCCCTCATATGACACTCCTTTAGGCTATTTTGTTGTCTGCTTTTTAACATTTTCAGTTTTGTGTGTCAGCAAAGCTGAAGCCAGCTAGTTACTTAGGGATGGGAGCATGGACTTTCTCAAGATCTCTATTAATCATTGAATAATCCTTTGAAAATGTTAAATATGACTTATTTTCCTCCCTTGAGAAAAATATATCATATTATATGTCATATGTATATATGACATAAATATATCTATTATCTTACGTATCAGATCCTGAACCCATCCAGATGCAAATGGCGACACTTTTGATAAATTTTCCACCCTGTTTTGTAATGTTATGGCTTAAATCTGCACTGTCCCCCCAAAAGTCTCATGTATTCAGAGGTGGGCTTTGGGAAGGTGATTAAATCATACAAGCACCATACTTGTCTGTCCATTCATCCACTGATGACTTTGGTAACTGAATGTCCTGTTAGGAGGTGGGGCCTGACTGGAGATGGGACACTGGAGGTGTGACCTGTAAGGATGTGTTCTTAGCCCCAGTTCCCCCTTTCTTTCTCTGCTTTCCTACACCAGACACCTCCACCATGCCATATCTGCCTTGGAGCCAGCCAACTATGGATTGAATCTTCTAAAAGCCATGAACCAAAACAACTTCTCCTCCTTTAAATTGTGGATATTGGGTATTTTTTCCCAGTGACAGAAAACTGGCTAAGACACCTAAGAAATTACATCAAGCCCCTTTTACATTAATCTTTAAGAGCTGAGCCCTTTCATGTCAATCTTTTGACATCACCCCATACAAAATATCTAATAATTGGTCTTACAGCCCCTGTCATCTCTCTGGAAGGCCAATTTTTCCTACCCCTGACAGGTCTGGTTACTCCCTAGCACCAACATCCCCAAAATATTATCAATCTATCTGTGAGATCTTTCTCTTCTCTTTACCAGCTCTTGCAGTCAGTTCTTTTCCAGATTTATATATTGTGAAGCTGCCTATCACAGGGTGGGTTTTCTGGAAATAGACTATAAGATGTAACCTAAGGAGGCACAAAATGTTTCTTGGGCCCAACCCCTAGAAAGGAGGAGAAAGGAGCAGGACCGGGCCAGGGATAGTACTTGTGGAATAGTCTTGATAAGCTTTGGCCAACTTGCTGGAGTGCTCTGAGGCAAAAGTTGCTTTTCAGGCATTCGACTTGTGGCTGGCCTGGTGTTATGGTTTAGATCTAAAATGTTACCAAAACTCTCGTGTGTGTGGAAGGTGTTTCGATATGGAGGTGCTATCCTCATCAGTGGACTTATCCACTGATGACTTCAGTAGCTAACTGTGCTGTTGGAAGATAGGGCCTGGTTGGAGGCAGGTCGCTGAGGATGCAAAACAGAAGGATGTATTCTTATCCCGGGCTCCTCTCTCCTCCCTCTGTATCCTGGCTGCCAAGAGGTGAGAACTTTTTCCTCCACCATACCCTCTATCATCCTATTTCTTTCTTAGGGAAGAACCAGCCCACCATGGACTAAAACCGTGAGCTAAAGTAAACCTCTCCTCCTTTAGGTTGTGGATTTGGAGTATGTGTTCAGTGATGGGAAGGTGACTAAGACCCTGGGCTCTTATAACCCCACTTTGCTCAGTCACGAGGCAGGCCATCCCAAGAAGGGCATGTCTACTGGCAGGATACTCTGCAGCTGAGGCAGATCTGAAAGCACTGGCAAATGAGGGCTCTCTGTTGACTACTCCCTCTACAGCTGGGCATCACTTCCTTCTTTGAAAAAGAGTCTGGGAAATTCTTTCTGTGCTCATCACTCCAGTTCATCCTGTGTAGTCTAATGGCTCTGGCAAACCTGTGGGTAGGTGAATGTGCCTACTGGCCCATTATGACTGTCCTTATCCATCCGACCCCTTATCTTGAGCATCACACTCCTCTTCTAAAAGGCATACTGGTGATGATCTCTGGGTGGTTCCCTAGAACAGAGCTTCCCAATCAGAGAACTGGAAAAAGTAGGCCAATATAGCTATCTCTTCAGTCCCAAGCTAACAAGAGTTCTTAGCAGTTTCTTCTATAATGAGCAGCCTCTTTAAATTACCCCACTGTGCAAAATTCGATCATTTTTTAAAGTTTGGATGATACTGCTCTAGAGCAACCTCTTTGTCCCTTCAGGCACTGGCTATAGAGTTATTGGACATCTATTATGCACCTGGCTCTGGGCTAAGGTGTTGAAAGTAGAGCTGAAACCGGTCTCACAACTGTTCCCACTGATGCCTAGTGGAAGAGAAAGACTGAACAAGTAAACAGAAATAAATACATAATTAGACACAGTGATCAGTGCTGTGCGATAGAATAGCAGGCTTGGGTGGTGGAGGAGGAATAGGATGAGATGAGGTTGGAGAGACAGGAAGACATGGAATAGAGCACAACAAGAGCTCAGGCGGGGGTGGGGACCAATAGATATCTTGATGGGATTTGTATTTTTACAACACTCTTTTTGGAGAATAACTAGAAACATAGTGGCAGTGGTCTCAGACTAGTAACCCAGACTGGAGATGTCATGTTTGCCATGGGGAATCGCAGAGGAGATATGGAGGCTTGGAGGATTTCAAAATGCTGCGTTTTGTTTTGTTTTTAAAAGAACCATCCCTTCCTGTCTTTGAGAAGTTCACACTGTTGGAAAAACAGACTTGCAAATAAACTATTTAGCATAGCAAATAACTACCTTAGTAAAAACATAGAAGTCCTGGATGGAGCATAGGATGGAGCCCAGACTTCTGGGGGAGTAAACATGCGCACAGTAGTGCTGAAGCTGGAGATAAGACATAAGACATAAGCTAAGAACTGGTGATGCTTCTAGAAAAGATGACAGCATGAGAATGTGTCTTGGGGGCCTTCCCTGACCAGGGGCCTGTCACCGTGCCTTTTCTACCCTGTGTATTCCTTTCTCATCGTGCTTGTCACTTTGTGTTTAGACATCTGTTTGCATGACTCTTTTCTTCCCCAAATTTGAAGCTCCTAGAAAACAGTCTGTCTTTTTGTTGTGGAAATAAGTATTTCTTGAATGAATAAATACAAGTATTCTCTAACAATCACATTGCTAAAGACTGATCATTCCACTTTCCAGCCCTCCTCTTTTACTTCATATTGTATGTTAACTCCAAAGCCTTTGCCTTCTGGTGTGGTCTCCCCAACTAGCTCATGGAGATTAAAGCCCGATCTCTTTTTGTGCCTTTTCACAGGCCACTGTGTAAGGATCTGCATACTTAAAGAGCTTACCAAAGACTACTGAATGAAATGAATAATCAAAATGGATTTAAGTCACTGTACAGTTGACTGTTACTAACCAATGGGATTTCATTCCTTTCTTGGTTTCCAGGAAGTACAATGACATTGCCTGCTGCTGAAAGGGCTCATCTGCTTAATGCTTCTCCAACATGTCTGCTGAAAAAGATTTGCCGTCAGGAGCTTTATCTCCTCACCCTTCCAGAACAACTTCTGAACATTCCACACAGACCTTGCCATCAAAGGGAGAGGATATTAACATGAAGCTAAAAGAGGAGAGTCTGCAGGATGAACCTCCATTCACCATAGAGCAAGAGTCTTTGGAGAAGGAAGAATATCCAGAGGAAGAAGAGTCTCTGGAGGAGGAAGAATTTCCAGAGGAGGAAGAGTTTCTGGAGGAGGAAGAATATCCAGAAGAGGAAGAGTCTCTGGAGGAAGATATGTTTTTGGAGGGAGAAAATTATCTGAAAGGAAAAGAGGATCTTTTTAAAGAAGAGGATTTGAAGGAGAAAATGCATGTGGAAGAAAAAGAGTATCCTTTTGAAAAGTATCTGGAACAAAGTGAGTATCTATAAGGAAGAGAATATCTAGAGAAAGAAATTTGTCTGGGAGACAGTATCTGTACGAAGGAGAGCATCGGAGAGTGAGGGCCCCCCAGAGGATGGTAGCTCTAGTTCACCACAATGCCGAGAAGAAAGAACAAAACCTGAGGCGCAGCCAACCACAGACTACTAACCCTATCCATGGTGCTGACAGGTAGGAAGACTGCTGCCCACGTTCTGCTCTGGCTCCTATAGCCATGCCCTAAAGCACTGTGCCAAAAGTGCAGGCAGAGACTTCAGAAACATAAAGTCCTGTTTATTTAAAAAAATAATCTGTATATTACTGTGCATGCTCACTGTGGTTGTTTTAGAATCTATATACAGTATGCACAAAAGGAAGAAAGCAGGGCTGGGGATTTAGCTCAGTGGTGCCACTGCCTGCCTCCCAGAGATGATGATCACTTTTCACACTTTGGTTATAACCTCCCCTGACCTATACTATTTACTATATACATAGTTTCTACAATAACATATATAAAATTTACTGACCAATGAGATTTTGTTGCTTTCTTGGCTACCAGGATGATAAAGGTGATAGACAGATAGATAGATAGATGCACTTTTTTGTAAAAGTATCATCCTTTATCATAGTTTTTGCAATCTACTTTTGAAGATACATTTTATATATTTATGCATTATAAAAATATATAAATTTTAGGTAGTTATATGAATATCGTTTTATATTTTATGAATTTAATGTTATTAAATTTTTTCTTTTCTTTTTATTTTTAATTGGCACATAGTAATTATACATATTTCTGAGGCCAGTATGACATTTTAATGCATGTATAAAACATGTAATGATCAGATCAGGGTAATTGGCAAATTGACTGCCTACCATATTTATCCTTTCTTTGTATTGGGAGCATTCAAAAGCCTCTCTACTATTTTGAAATATTCAATTAATTGTTGTGGAACATACTCTACTGTGCTACATATATAGAACATTAAATGGTATTCTTCCTATCCAGCTACTCTCCTGTAACTGTTAGTCATCTTCTCTCCATCCTTCTTGCTCTACAGCCTTCCCAGGCTAAGCCTCAATATTTTTAATTGACCTCTCACAGTGCTCACTTATTGATTGTGATTTCATTGTTACTTTTTAAAACAGCACTTCAGTGAGCAGACCATAATATGCTTCCTCCATGTGCCCATTTTTCCCCCGGAAGGAACTATATTGCTGAGTGTTTGACTTTGGAGTGACGGCTCTTATCCTAGGGCTGCTGATTTTCTATTGTTTCTTCAATTGGCAGAATTTCCTTGAATTGGGTTTTATTATTTGTCAGTGGCTTCCTTGTGCTGTTTTCTAGCAGTGGTTAATGTACATTTACTCATGGGCCCATGGGGTGTCTCGCCTTGATGTTGTGGCTGCATGGCCACATTAATTAGGTTTAGAAATTGAAGAATCTAGGTCATTTGCATCATCCTACTGTTGACCTAAAAATAGAACTAAACCGTTTTTTTGGATCAAGTTCTGCTTCCAACTACATGCATCCCAGGCAGCTTGAATTTTTAAATTCCTGAAAATCAGATTGCTCACAACCTATATCCTAATAGCTGGGTGCTCTCAGCTGCCATGCAGATATTTACCTTTATGTCCTTCTCCATATAATCAGATGGATCATCCTCAATTCCTACTACCTTTTTGGAAGTTTAGTTGTTGTGCTGGAAAGGTATGTACTTCCACCATTAAGCACCCTCTTGGGATTCTAATATCCTGACTGTTCATATACCAAGTGTAATTCTAATACTGAAAAATAGCACTCAGGGCTTTTCTCTTGCACAGTATGAATCAAGCATTCTTAACATGTCTCCTCTACATGCTGGATCTCTGTAAATATATTATCCACTAGAGTTGGACAAATACAATACTATCAAGTAAATGGAACTGTGTATAAAGCAAAAGCCTTGAAAATAAATGACCTGCTCAAAAAAATTGGAAAGTCCCTGGAAAAAAAAACTGTAGGAGAATGCAAAAAATGACTTTTAGGCACATGGAAGAATGACATGATCTACACAACTCAGTGTAGCAAGCCAGATTACACAAAACAGGTGAGGAGGGGATTTAAAAGAGAAATCTTAACTTTTCGAAAGGACTTATATCTGGAATTTTTTTACTTAGAATGATATCCTAACATAACATCTTTAAGATATAATTTTGTTTATCTCTTGTGGTGAACATCAGTGCCTAACCACAGCGGATACTCAGTACATGCAAATTGAATCAAGTTATCAAATTCATTTTACAAAGCTACACATACAAGTATTTTATAAAACAATTTTATAAATTAGTTGGTATCTATACAATGTGCCCTAGAAATGGCACACGAGCTCTCATCTCTCATTCTGATGGGTTAATTACTAAAGGTTAACAGTGAATCACTATGTTGAGAAGGTTGGTGAGGCCCCTGTCCAGCCTCAACAGGAAAAAGTCCTGAGATCACTTAGCAATGTTCAGCACAGGATCGGGCAATGAAGGAGGCATCACTGCCATTCATTTGCCTCCTTGGTAGCAGTTAGGAGTCTGCCACAAAGAGCACATTTTTCTTTCTCTCCGAAGAGCTTGACTGCCTGGGTTTGAGTGCTAGCTAGCTCTTTCCTTTTACTAGTTGCATTTGAACTCAAGCAACTCATTTAACCTCTCTGTGTCTTGGTATTCTTCACTGAAATTAGGAATATCAATAGACCTACATTATAGGATTGCGTGAATGTTTAAAGGGTTAAATTATATAATGCATTATGGGCTCTGCCAGACACACAGCATTTTAAGCTTATGTAAATTATCAGCTATTAATATTATGTTATTGTTCCCTTGACATTGACTTGTGAATCACCACACTCTGCTGGTCATATTTCTCTACTTTGTGAAACGGACATAATCAAAAGACAAAAGGAGACATAGTAAAGAAAGGCATTGGAGGGATCTGCACCCTCCAACCACCTACTGTGGGGCAGGTCAACTTCAGAGATGGCCATCGCCCTGGACAAAGGTGTGAAGTCAGACTAATAGCCCCCACCTGTTTTTTCCTTAGAGTCATCATTTCCCCAGGATTTTTGGAGCAACCCAATAAAACTAGATGTGCAACTTGAATGTAGACTCAGCATCCGTTGCCCCCGAATAAGGGAAGGTCACATCTGATAGAACCCCCCAGGGAAGTTCCAAATACGGGGTGAAGCACATGGGTACCAACACTGTGGTGTCAGGGTCGGAAGGCCCAGCAGGTAGTGGAGCTTATGACCTGGACGTGTCGCTTACCTTCAGCTTCCCATATGCAAAAACACCTTTCTTCACAATATGATTGTGATGATTAAATAAAACAGTGTTTCAGAAAATGCTTTGAAAGAGCTCCCATACTACATGAATTATAAGATGTAAAGATACTCTCTCTTCTGAAGAAAGGTGCTAGAAGGAAAATATAAATCTCTGTTTTTCTGCTGCTATAGAACATGCTGTACGGTGAAAGGACCCACGATGTGGACAATTTTGTTGTTGTTGTTGTTGTGTTTATGTTTTTGCTTTTGACCCAAGACCTTCCTAGTGACAATTTCTGCTCTGTGACAGGAAATTCTATAGAGACATCGCAGCATGTTGATTTTGACTCATACAGTTTTTGCATGTTAGTATTGTTTTAACTGGGAATTGAATCCATGGAACAATGACAATACCCCAGCTCATTTTTATTTTATTTTGAAAACAGAGACTCACTAAGTTGCCTGGGCTGGCCTCAAATTTGTGATCCTCCTGTCTCAGCTTCCTGAGTAGCTAGGATTACAGACTTGGGCCACCACACATGGCTTTTCCCAAGAGGATTTTGATACACAAAATGCGTTGGATTTTATTTTGTTCACCCTTGCCAACAAGTCCTTAGTGACTCATTCCTACTGCCTTCTGGCCTGAGTGTTATAAGTGGGTTGTCATTTGCATTTGAGAATTGATGTCCCATGGAAGCTAGCAATTCTGGTTTCTGAGAAAAAAAGGTGCCAGAGATACTCATAAGGCAAGAACAGGAGAACCAGCCATTTCTCATGCAAGAAGCTTCCCGATTTTCTGCCTTGACCTGGCAACTGGTTAGGAGAATATCAAGTTCCAGAACCAGGCACCTCTGTCCTCCAGGCACCTTAAGATATTCACAAACGGCATCTTTACCACACATGTCTTATCCCAAAGAAGTCAGGGAGCATATTGAATATGCCCAAACTGCAACCCAAAACCCACTCATTTACCACAAAGTGTTAGCGCTGCAATTAAGCCTGACTACTGATGTTTTAGTTTAGAAAAAACAACTCACACATTGACATCTTTTGCCTTCAAAGAAAAATAAGTAACCCCTGTGCTAGTGTGTTCAGCACTACTGGCATAGGGTAGGTGCTGTACATTGTGCAGTCTCCACCTCCTGTAATTCTCCCACCATTTTCTCCCTCTCTTATTTCACAAATGGGAACCTGGAGCTACAGGGTGTGTGACTAGTCCAAGATCACTGAAGGAAAGCAAGAGCCAGGGCAGGCTCCCAATCTTTCTCTCCTCTCAGTCATTTCTCATTTCTCTCTCTTTTCTCCTTCTTCTCCTCCTCCTTCATCTTCTTCTCCTTCTCCTTCTTCTGTTTTATTTGGGAGACAGAATCTTGCTATATAGCTCAGGCTGGACTTGAACTCACTATGTAGCCCAGCCTGGCCTCAAGCTCTCCACGATCCTCTTGCCTCAGCCTCCTGAATCCTGGGATTACAGGTGTGTGCCACATTTGGCTTATGTGGCCTCCTGGTAATAAATTGCATACTACTTTTCATCTTAGAAGAAACCATCTATTTTCATTCAGTTATCTAAAAATGTAAAATTTTAAAACTAGAAAAATTTCACCTAACCTACTAACACCTAAATATAGATAAAGCACGGTCACTTTTTGTTTTGTTTTTGTTTGTTTGTTTGAGACAGAGTCCCACTGTATGGTCCAGGCTGGCCTCAAACTCTCAGCAATCATCCAGCCTCAGCTTCCTGAGTGCTGAGATTACAAGCATGTACCACCACGCCCAGCACATTCACGTTTTACTGGTATTTATCCTATCTCTCTGCTTTGATTCTTTGGATATTTAATAGTGGTGATTCTTATTTTGTGGTCTTCTCTTGTTTTTACTCTTCTAAACATGCTAGACAAACAAGTTTGTATTTTGCTTTTGTAATTACTGTGACTTCACCATTTGTGCATGTTACTTAGTTTTTTAGATATTATTTTAATAATAATATTCCTCAGTAATATTCCGTGGATAAACTACGGGTAAGTATAAGTGTTGAACATACATGTGTCAAATTAAAATGTTTTGCTTCTCATTTCTAGACTGCTTCCCATCTCCTTCTCTATTATTTGAATTGATGGTGTTTTTTAGCTCAAGTATACATGAAATTCTTGATGTCATATCATTCAAGGCAAACAATCAGTTGGTCAAATGACACAAGCAGATTCTTTACAATTTAAAATAATTCTTAAGGTATTTATATCCTCTGTACTTTAGCCACCTCTGCTAGACAGCTGTAGTTTGTCCCCTGACAGAAGGAAGCACTTGTGACCAGCTAAGAGATTCACAAAGCAAACTCGAATTTCTAAAATCTAAAATTTCTTGATAACTGTCTTCTTGTTGAGTTGTCTCTAATTTTATAAAATTTTAACCTTGTAATGTTCAAAGGAAACCATTAAGAGTGACAAAAATTAGGTAAATTAAAATAGAAAATTTCTATAATTCAGGACCTCTTGACTTCAACCTCAACTTTTTTTTTTTTTTTTTTTTACCAATATCGTCTTTCTGTTCTTTTTTCCAATAGAATTTAAGGAGTTATAATGTTCAAAGGAAACCATTAAGAGTGACAAAAATTAGGTAAATTAAAATAGAAAATTTCTATAATTCAGGACCTCTTGACTTCAACCTCAACTTTTTTTTTTTTTTTTTACCAATATCGTCTTTCTGTTCTTTTTTCCAATAGAATTTAAGGAGTTATTCAACAGGAATTCTGACTACTCTTGATGGAAGGTAATAGCTTTCTTTTGGGATAAACTGGCTGGAAACCCACACTTAGCAATGCTATTTCAGGAGTCTTTGGAGGGCTAAAATTGGGAGGGGGTGGAAACTTAGCCCACTTGGCATTAATCATGTTAAATCATGTTAACCAAATCCTGTTAAGGCCAGGATTGGGAAAAACGAGCAGTACAGATGAAGCATTTCATGTATCCCTTATAAGCAGGAAGGCTGCCTGCCACACCAGGCCTGGAACAGCTCCCCCTCCCATTTCCCCACATCTGCACGTGCAGGCCCCTCCCCACTGGACAGAGGCTGTGGAAGCAGCACATGAACAGCGAGCTATCCTCCCTGGATAATGGAGTGAATAGCTGGTGTTTAGTAGTCCAGATAGGCCAGGGCCCTGGTTCTGCTTCCTGACACTGAAGGCCAAAAGAATAGCCTGGACAGGCAAGGCAGCCCAGGGGCCCCTGTCCTGTCCCAGCCCAGAGAGGGTACTGGAGAAATAGACATGAAAGTGGAAATGACCAGAGCTGCTGATGTTACCTCAAATATAACTGCCTCTCCTTGTTCAGCAGCTTGGACTTTTCAGTCCTTTCATGGGAACTTGCATTATCTCTTTGGGTTCCAGAGCACACCTGGTGAGTGGGACAGGAAAAGTGTTATCTTGCTAGAAGAGTAAAGAAACTGAGGCCTGGAGCATAGTGAGAAGTGACACTTGCCTAAGGAGCTCACCTGTGTTCACATGCTGATCCCTACAGTCCCCTGACCTTGAACCTGAGCATTTTGCCACTTAACCCAGGGACACTTTACAGTGGAATAGCCTGAGAATTGTTGCTCTGTGGGCCACCAGCAATCCAGGCTCTCCCAGCAGCCCCTCTGGAGGCTCCTACAAGACCAGCCTATAACTGCTACAAACCCTAAGGAGAGCTGCTTCCCCTGGCACCTGCTGGAATGGCCTGCTAGAGTAGACTGCCTCCTCCTCTTGATCCAGGCTTCAGCTCCAGCACCCCCCACTCCTTGTCACTGCATCAGTAACCCTTGCCCAGATCAGAAACTGTTGTCTGACTTCCCCTATAAAAACAACAGCAAACATTAGCTTACCTGGGCTCTGCTAGAATACAAGAGCCAACATGTATGCTCAGGCCTACCTAACATCAAAGTCTGTCTTTGCTACCAGCCATGGTCACCACCCCTTTATATGATAAGCATTTCCTTTGGGCCTATCATCTCTGCCAGTTGGGCCAGAATAAAATGGTTTCAGAGTTGAAATGCTCCAAAGACCCCTCACTTTCCTTTGAATGATAGTTTGGTGGTCCCAATAAAAACCCAGAGATTTCTGGATCAGGACGCAATGTGGGTCTGTGTCTTGATGTTTTTCTCCTTGCTCCTACACTGCAAAAGCTTAAGACTGGACCCTCATAACCCAAAGCCCTGCCATTGGGCCCTTAAGAGAACTTCCACAATGGTGGTAGTGCTCGTGTAGGTTCCAACTACAAGGACAAACCTCAGTGCTTGATTTTAAACTGCTGTGCCCCGTACTCCAGTGGTTTTTCCACTCTGAATCAATGGTGAAGCAGGAAAGGCCACTAGAATGAGCAGGGTTGTAAGCTAGAAAGGAGGAAGAATGTTCTAGAATATTCAGCTCTCAGTGATGGCATTCTGGCCCAGTGGCCTCTGAAGGTACCTGAAGATCCTTTCATGTTTTAGTAAAGCAGCAGTTGGCATCATGTGGATCTGCTGTCCAGAACAACACATAGACTTGTTCTCCATGGTCCATGAGTCTATCCCTTCTAACCTTGTGACCTCTGCCATTTAGGATGGAAGTCCACAGGACCTGGAGGGCAGTCATCCTCTCCCCAACTTCCCAACATGCCACAGACCTGTGTCTCTAATATGGCTTCTGCCTGGAAGTTAACCAACACCTTGCTCCCCTCCTACAGGAGCTCAGCTGCCAGTACTTTTCAGGAAAGCAAGTCTATTACCATCCCGCATATCTTCACTACCCCTGTTCCTGCCTCTGAGCCTGCCATGGAGTTTGCCCTGGAGTTGTCTTCCTGCTGCCTGATGGTTCCTACGTCTTCCCTAAGACACCAGGCTAGTCAGACAGAATGGACCTATGAGGGTAAGGGGGCTGCACCCTGCTTGGGACCCCTCCCCCAAGTGTGCCCACAGCCAGGGAAGAAATGGTCTTGCAGTGTATCCTGTGTGAAATATTGTCACCCATACTTACGGTTTCCTGGGCCATCCCAAATCATATTTTGGGTAAGAAGTTAACTCCTCCAGGAACCCCGCCCCCACTTTCTCCATCCTATCCCCTCTCCTCAGAGAAAGGGCATCAGCAAAGCACTGGAGCAGATATCTCCTTCAGTCTTCCCTGTCTCCTCCCCTTCTGTTCCTTATTAGTCTCCCTGCCCTCCTTCTCCATGAACACAGGTACCCTCCCTCAGGGCCACAGGCCATTTCCTTCCCAGATTACAGACTTTCTCCCTGGGGTGCACAGCAACCAGGACTCAGCCCATCTCCAAGTTACCATGCAAGTGAAGTCAGTCTTGACTCTGAACCCAGAAAACCCAAAAAATTCATCCAGTGAATTCTCATGGCCATAACTGGGAACCACCCAGGAGAGAGTTAGTCAAGATTGCATTGAGGATCTTAATTCTCTACCCAATTAAGCCCAAAGGCCTTTTGCCCTGGGGTCCTGGGGATGGAAGACTGATCTGTATTTTTCACAATTATTAATCATTGAAGTCCAGCCTTAGTGGGATCTATCCATCAATGATTCACAGATTTCTTTTGCATCTGTAGTCATGGCAGCAGTAAGTTAGATTCCCCCAGCACCTCACCTCCCTGGCCCCATCCATGTCTGCTAAATTTTGTAGCTCGAATATAGTTAAACAAAATTAGAAGCCAGAAACCCTATAAGGAAGGTTGGAGAGGCAGAGAAAATGAGGCCCACATAGCCCACAGGAGCCAATACAGGACAAGGAGCTTTTTTGGGCTAAACAGGTTCGTATGGGCCTTTTGTCAGCATTTGAGCTCTCAAATGGAAATGGGAACTAGACCCATTTCAAAGTCAGTGACAGCTGGAGAAAATCTGAGCATTTGCCTAAATATTCATAAGTAAGACTCTGAAAATCATTTATTGAGAAGTTGGCTATAGAATGCCAATGTTAAGTGTGAAAGGATGTGGGAGAGGAGACATGAGATTCAAAGAGGCTTGTTTGGGAAGCTAAGATGCCTGTCTGTCCATGCCCTGTGGACCCAGCCCAGAGAGGCCCAGCTGATGCCACTGTTTTATGTGCCCTGTTTATCCATTATCTCTTGGGTGTTTAAGCTCATTACAGCTTGTCATGTCTGTATTTAATTTATGTTGTAAGGACCAGGTATATTTGGTCTGTATTGGCATGTTTTGCAGCTATGTGCCTTTCTAAATACTGAGTTCCTCAAAGTCAACACATATTGATGTTTAGCCAAAGTCTGGCCTTCCACAGTAAATATCTATTGATCAAACACTGTGACATTGGTAGTCTAAGCTAATGGTGTGGCCTGTGTTGGAGCCTCCAACTCAGGCCCAATGATATACCCAGGTTCCTACAGTTACCTGAGGGGATGGTCATAAAGGAGTTCATGGATGGTCACTCTAAACTCTAGTGCCCTCGTGTGCTATTTTAAATCACAGAGCATAGCAGCAAGTGCTGAGAAAGGCTAAACTCTGATATCTCCTTGTCTACTTTAAATCGGGCCCTCTCAGAGCTTTCATTAACTAAACTGTTATTGAGGAAAGAGAGACTGAAGTCTGTCAACACACCTGGACAGACTTTTATCCGAGAATCATTTACCATTCTTTTGCTGTTCTACAGACCCAATAGATTTTGTCCCAGACCATCATATGCCCCATTTCCCCCAAGCTGACTGAATTCTCCTAAAATTTTTTCACTATTCCCCCCAAAATTGTCTACACACTCCCCTTGTGCCCTTTCCCTGTGGAAAAGGGTGCAGACACTGAATCATGTTGGGCTGCTGCATGACAAAACTGTGACTGCCTCTGTGCACCATGCATCCTGATATCTTCTCTCCTATCCACTCTATCTGTTGTCTGTTCATTCCAGCAAACCTTCAGAGGGCAAAAGAAAGCCTTTCCCATTGCCCCTGATAGCAGGGAATGAAACACAAAGAAAACCAAGGAATTCCCTAAGAGTCATGCAGATTTTTTTCCCCTCCTGCTTATAGATTATAATCTATCTTTCTGGGAAGCTTTGGTGGTCGTAGGCACATGATTGTGTCTAGTCAATGGAATGGAGTGAGTATGACAAGGAGTGATAAGGCATGGATAGATGTGGTAGCTCTCAGTCCTGGGTCACTGCCAAATGCCAGGAGTAAATTTATGGGCCTGATAGGCATACCAGCTAAAAGCATGGGAAGGAGCCATTCCTGTCCAGGGGCACCCCTCCAGGTCAGGGAAGCAAGATCCTGGGACCCACAATAATAGAGTCACAATATTCCTCTAAAAACTACCTATGTTTCCCCCATCCTCCTCTCCCCTACAGGAAGCCAACACAAGAGCACATATAGTACCCAGAGTACCAAATTCGCCCATTTATTTATTTAACAAGGAATGGAAGACATTCCTTGTTCTGCTGTGAGAATACAACAGGCGAGCCAGTCTGCTTCCTGCCCAGCCACCCTCTATTCCAGTTCTCAGCTCTGCCAGAGCACAGACACTGGTAAAAGTCCCAAATAAGCCAAAGAATACTGAAGAAGAGCATCCACCAAGATAGTGCAGGTGTTATCAAACACAGGCTGGCCACAGGCTCCAGGAAGAGAGGAAAGAGCACAAGATGATTCCATGAGGTGACAAAGGAAGGGTGTGGGAGGAAACCAGGAAGCATGAGCTACAGGAAGATGAAGGAGCTCAAAACCAAGCCAAGGAGAGGGAGAGCAGAGACACAGGAAAATACACTGTGTGGAGGGGAAGGGGACCTGCATCAGCACACAGATGACCAAGGGTCCCAAGCTAAGAAGATGCAAAAGAGAAGCAGTTTCAACCCGGGGCTGAAGCCACCCATCTACTTGTTGGAGAAACACAGGTGACCATGGCAAAAGCAATCCAAAGGCCTGATAGTGCAGAGCCAAGGCCAGCAGGACTGAGAAGTGAGATCAGGGATGGGGCTGCTGCTCCAGAGTGCCCAGGACTGTATGCCCCTGTTGCCAGGTGCTTGGGAAGACACCAATTCCTGGTCCTTATCAGAATCCCTGCCTGAGAGGGCCTGGAATCTGCCTTCTTAAAAAGATCCTCAGAGGATTCTAGGGGGCACAAATGATAAGGAACCAAGAGTCACTAGTTTAGTGTGAATTTTGGGGTGCTAGGCTCCTGTTTTCCAGATATTTTTCATTACGGCACTGTTCCACCCCAGTGGGTGCAAAACAGGGTTTTACGTGGCATATCCCCTCTCAACAAACAAGACTTTGAGCTCAGTATGAAGCAAGATACCCAGATATATCCTTGAAATCTATTACTCCAAGGAATGATAGATCTGACTTGGAAGGAATGCTAAAGGCACAAGAAATGCCTCACAATCCCTATGAGAGCGTCTCTGGAGGACCAGAAAGACTATTTATTTATGGCCCCCTATCCAGGCACAGGCAGGGACATAAACAAAGGACACCAGAAATTCTAACTCCAAGCACTACATCCATGCCTGCCCAAGTCCTCAAGACTTATGCCTGGCACATAGTGAGCACTTATAAATATTTGTTAAATACTTTTAAAATTCTTGTTAAAGCCTCCATCTGATTCAAGATCAAATCATGGTGATAAAAAATATATACCTTACTCCAAAGAAGCAGTCTTTGTAGGTAGGGAGCTGTAGAAATATGTGTATGCACAGAGATACTATACATAAATAAATATGGGTAAGGATAACAAAGGTAAAGGGGTGATCCTTCAAGCCACCTGGCAAGAGAAGGAAGAAGATTGCAAAGCTCCCTAAAGTGGAAACTAGTGTGCTTGCACAGATTTTCCTTTAGTTGACTTAGATTTCAAAAGATCATGTGCAGAAGTTAAAGATAAGGATGTTCCCAAGCATGAATGTAGGAAAATGGCTCTGAACTTTAACAGTGTCAGGAAAGCTGAACCCAAGGATAAGGATTCTTAAGGGGGGAAAAAATGATGACGGTGATGATAATGATAACACAGACACCAACAAAAGACAGTGGACTTTTAAAAATAACAAGTGGAGAGCTAGGCATGGTGGTGCATGCCTGTAATCCCAGCACTTGGGAGGCTGCGGTGGGAGGATCATCAAAAGTTCAAGACCAGCCTGGGCTATGTAGTGCATACAAAGGGAGACCCTGTCTCAAAAAAACAAAACAAAAAACAAGTGGAATGAAAGAAGGTTAAGGCAGACAGGACTACTATCCAGTGTTTAATGCAGTGTTAATGCAGTGTTTATGAGTAATTTAGGGAAAGTCAAGTTCTTCAATTGCTGTTTAATTTTGACTTTGCTGTGAAAGAAAATTATCTTCATGTTGGAAAGAGTACAACAAAATTAGGTAAGTAGAAGCAGAAACCAAAGAATGGTGAAAAAAATTAGAAGAGAACGGTAACTGCTGTCTTTCAACCTAGATAAAATATGCCCCAGAATATAGAGAGGGTGAAAATAGCTTAATCATGTTTCTGGATTTTGAGGAATTAGAAGAAATTGGAAAAGAGTCTGTGGCCAACCTGGAGCAAATGTTGAGAGCAAAATAATCACAAGAAAACACTATAGGATGAATAAGAACAGATCATATAATATTGGCATTTAGGTCACTTTTTTTTTTTTTTTTTGGTACGGGGGATCGAACTCAGGACCTTGTGCTTGAGAGGAAGGCCCCGGAACCACTGAGCTAAATCCCCGGCCCACTTAGGTCACTTTTTGACATGGTGATTAGATCACTCAACTGTGGTAACCCTGCAAACCAGATTCCAAAGGCTTCCCGATGTTCCCGGCCATGACACAGCAATATGAGGTGAATGTTGATGTGAGGTGGAGGGGTGATGACTGTTTGAACACCACGTG